AGAAACACCCACAATGCTTTGCAAAACATGACCATCTGGACTGAGCTGTTGGAGGATTAAAAGGGGGCCGTGTAAGGGTGCTGTGAGCCGTAGTGAGTCTCTCCCGCTCTAATTTTTCTCTCTCAGAGATAATTACAAGGTACCGCTGGGATGGACGGATTGAGGAGAGAGATGCTCCGAGTCTGGGTTGCCGCCCTTGGATCTCGACATCACCACAGAGCCAAAGTGTGCGGTTGGATCCATTGGGTGGACACTCCAGCAGCGCCTGAGGAGAACAGAGCCAGACAGCACCACAAAACCCAAACCAACAGCACAGACTATTTAAAGCGCACACCAGCTCATCCCTGCAGCCTCAGCTAAACAGGCTTGGTAACTAAACTACCAGTAGAAGCACTCGGAAAATTGCTTAATGGAGAGGAGTCAGTGGGAAGGTTTAAGATGACATTCAGTTCTTACCGCAGAAAGATAAAAGCACCAAATACGTGCATTTTTGAAGCACACATTTAATAAGACACTTATAACAATATTTTGGATTGTTAATCGATTTAAAAAAAAAAAATTCTGTAATTAATCCCACCTAACAATACAATTTGTAATATATTTTTCTACTATAATACATATTTTCACACTGAATATCCTAAATAACGTATATGTGTTGCGTATTTGTTTAATCTTTTTACTATGAGTAATAGTACTTCATCTAAGTACTATAAATGAAGGCCAATACTGCTACTGATGTCTCTATTTAATGGATCTTTTCACAAATTTTGGGGACGAAATTAATCATTTAATACAGTATAATTATTTACAAGCCATCGTTTTTAACATTTATTGGGCTTTTAAAAGGACCAACATTGAATTTAAGTGAACTTGAAACAATATTTACATAAACCTATTATAATAAATGTCACATATGCCTTTATTGGGTTGAAAATATTGTAGTAATATGATGCTGTTTCTGTCAATTTTAAATCTGTCTGAACGAAAGCTGCCATTTAATTTTTCACATTCATTTTCACTACAAGTAAATTACAAGTTTAAACATTTGTTATCAATATTTTAGAACCTCTCGATACAAGGTCAGAATCGCAAGTATTTACACACATATACAAACACAAACATACATATAACATATATACATATACACACACACACATATATATATATATATATATAAGCCCTCTTTGTTTCCATTTCTACAAAATTTAAATAATTATTTCTGCTTACACAGCCAAGGTTGCACAGAAAGAGAAAAAAAATATTCCACACAAACCCCATTCTACATTATTTTCAGCTCCGCATTCTTACACACTTTGAATAAGGTCACATTATTGAAGATGAATACATTGCAAATGCCATTTCGTGCTGTCTTCATAAGTACTTGTGGAGGAAGTAGTCAACATTTATCTGATGCTATTTGACATGAGAAAGGAAAAAGGAAAAATTAGCCATTTAAGGAACTCCTTCATCCAAAGCCTTCTCCTTTCCAAAACCACAAACCCCAAATAAATACAGCCTGCAAGAACTTGAAACGGCAATGGGTTTGCCCTCAATTTCAGGTGAATGACGACGATTCCTCATGCGACTTCATCTATCAGGCTTCTGGACAGGTTCACAGCAGGCCACGGAGATGAGGCCATAACTCAGCCCTGGCATCTCTCCACTCTTTTCTCCATCTCTGCTCTGGGTGTGAGGATTATGGCATCACAGATATGAGCTCCACAAGTTATGGCCTCCACTCAGCGGCGCAGGTGTCAGGGTCGGGTGTGATTTGGAGACAGAGAGCAGATACGGAGAGCTCCCTGGGGAACGCTGGGACACACAGCACTAAAGTCAAGCTTACTGAACGTCTAATAGACCTGAGTGATGGTATGTCACAACAGAGTAAACAGTTCACGGATACCAGCAGAGAAAGCAGCTGAAGTTTTTAATGAGGAAGCAATAGAAAATGTAGTACCGGTAATAGTTATTTCTCATATTATTAGATGGACAATTTCCTTTTAGATTTACAGCAACTGTCTTCATAAATGGATTTAACAGTGCATCATAAATACAACCACAAGACAAAGAGATGCAGATGCATTTTTAAAAGGCAACTTATTTAAATCAGGAATGAAATGTTTTTTCACTTAGAATTCTGTTATAATCCTTAAGACAATAATTCCTGTTATAAACTTCTTCCAACATGAAACAGCCATGAGTTGCCTGAAAATGAAACTACATGTCATGCTTAAAAAGTGACTAGACGTATAAATCATGCTGCCTTTGCCATCGAAATTTCACATTTTTCAGCTTTTTAGCCAGCATTTTGAAGCGAATGTTTTGTGCATTACGCTGGTTGCAATATATATGTGCAGAACCACTTTGCTAAGTGCTCCGTTTCCTGTCTCCGCATTAAAAATCATAACCCCATTCCTCAACGCTTTTATTATGCTCCAAAATCAAACGCCAACCTCCCGTTTTTAATAAAGCCCTTATACGACTGGGGATATCTGATAGTGCTCTCTTAAATGTTACCAACGTTGGTCCTCACAAGCCTGTGGTTCAATAGCAGAGGTCAGTGCAGTGATTTAGGAGACGATTCTCGTTCACACATGTGATATCAGGATTCAAAAAAAGGCTTCTCGTCCCTCACCACGTCACATCTGCTCTTTCTCAGCGCAAATTAAACGATAACTAGCACAGGGTGTGTAACACTGCCCAGGACCGGCTTGACACTCGTTTCTGTGCTCCTTCCAGCTCAAGGAACGCTGTGAGACAAAATGTCATTTCAGTTTTTAAACGATGCCTGCTACTAATTGCAAAAATGAGGCATAAAAACAGAAGGTACTGCTTGAAAAGTCTACTCAGACAGCAACTTACACAAAAATACCAATATACAGTGCACAATTTGTATGCTACTATACAAGTAGTAACTGGTACTTTGGTATTATTGACAAGAGGACTGTACTTGCTCTAATAGCTGAGGAAAATGAAAGAGAAACGCGTGTCAGGATGCCCTGAGGAAAACGACGGACCCCATTTTTTTAAGATTCCACAGATTTTTGACATAGTCAAGTGCACCAAGAAAGAAAAACATGTTTGGCATATGGTTCTTATAGCATAAGAAAGTTGTTAGGCGTCTAATTAAATAAATTAGTCACTGTAAATTTAGGAATCTAACCCTGGAGACACATTAATTTCACAATCTGCGACAGTTGACGCATTCATCGCTTGATTGCTCTCAGGATTATTGCTTCTCAACTGTGCGGAACTGTCATGCAGCTCTAGGTTTCTTTAATGTTATTATAAAGTGCCCTAACGCTACTTAGGAAAATAAATTTGTCATCCCCATGGGGTGGCAGGGTGAATAGCTTATGAAGAGCTACCGTTCTCCCTGTGAGAGTTGATTGATATTTGGCTTTGCCATCCATTAAATACAAGTGGCCGGAGCAAGTGTTGAGATATTTGTTTTACAAAAAGTATTTAATATTACTAGGGTTTGGATCAGAGATTTATGATATTCGTGACGTTCTGGTTAATAACTGGGTTCTTCTTCTAAAAACATGCATCTTACTTCTAAGTCTGTTCCCCATATGTTACTGGTAGGGTTAGGAATAGGATTACGTTTAGAGTCCATAGGAAACAAAGGGGAGCAGACTTCGACACAACACCAGTACGGTCCGAATCCCAAACAAATTTGTCATTTTAACTGGTTATCTTTGGTTGAATCAAAACCGTACAGAGCTGCCAGAACAGCCACAGCAGTCCGATTCCCCAACAGATGACAAGTCTGTTATTTCTAGGGAATTAAAGTGATAGTTCACACAAAATTTGTAATTTTTCTTCATTTACTCATGTTGTTCCGAATCTGTATACGTTTCTTCTGTTGAACACAAAAGAAGATATATTAAAGAATGTTGGTAACCAGACAGCTGACGGCACCTATTGACTTCAATAGGTTTTTTTTTTTCCCGGAAGGCAATGGGTGCCGTCAACTGTCTGGTTACCAACATTCTTCAAAATATCTTCTTTTGTGTTCAACAGATCACAGAAAGAAAGAAACTCATACAGGTTTGGAACATCTTGATGGTAAGCAAGTAATGACAACATTTTGATTTTTGAGTGAACTATCCTTTTAAAAACACGTATTAATCAGTCGTGGTTCCTGAATTAATCTGACTCACTCACTGAACCGCAAATTACGTCCGTAATGACTGATGCAAAATGAACCAAAAACTGTACTTATGGCTTGTGTTGTGAGACTACAATCATAGGTTGTTGATATCACAATGTGTAATCAATTAAATTTTATGAATGAACGAAATGTTGCCACATATTTTAGTACGATTATTTAATGTAGGCTATAGGCTACAGTTATAATTATCGCACTTGTCCGCTTCTAAAAAAAAAAAAAAGTAATTGAAAAGTCTGTCACTAAAAATCTGTTTTAACACTTTTTATTTCTCTTTTTTTAATTATTATTATTCATTTGTGTCAGAAGACTGCTGAGGGCAATACGAATTCAAATTTATTTATTCCTCAAAAGTACTAAAATGATCATAAATGCAATCGGAACATAGCCTAATTCCCATTCCTAAATATCACCATTTGACACTAATCCTAAATTACCAGGCTCAAACACGACCAGTTCCCCCGGGCTGACACAATTCCCCTGTAATAAATAAACGGACAGATTGGGATATTCTAAGGCATCATCACTTTACATTCAATCACAAACAGATAGCACGTGATTCGCGTCCTTGAGCGCATTGCAAAACAAAACCAGCAAAACACGCACAACACTCGAGGTTTGAAACTTGCACTGGCTGTGTTTATCTGCTGACAGTTGTCATGCTCGCGCCGCCATTCCCTGCGTTGTCGCAACATGTAACAGAATCAAAAGAACAAAAGCCGCCGCTACTACATTCGGCTCAACGTTCTCCGGTTGCTACGAAACCGCTGAACTCACTAAGATGAGGAAGAACGTGCAGATGTACGAGAGTCATTCATTGGCATACCTGTCATCGTAGCAGAAATCGGCATCCAGAGTGTTGACATACAGGAGCAGTGCCACGGCGCTGCACACCAACTCTGCGATCATCTCTCAAAAAAGAAAAGAAGGAAAGGAAATGAAAGAGTTGAAGGATGATATTAAAGCCAATCTTTGATTTCTCTCTTCGTCTTTGTCAAAATGCCTCTGCCAGAAAACAATATCCGAGTCCCCATCCTTGCAAAGAGTTGAAATGAATTATCCAGACATCCTCCTCTTAACCCATGTTATTTGCGGAGAGAATCCTGTAAGGTAGAGTGGATGGGGCACGTGTAGTATTTACAGTACGGTCTACTGTGTTTGGGCGTCCTTACACCGAGAGTGTTGAGGTGATGCATAGTGAACGCCGAATAAATGTCGTGATTGAGCTGCGTGTGGTTAGTGGCTCCAGTGCGCCTGCGCAAAACCCCTCCTCCTGGGTATGTATACACATGCACACGGTCTGACTTAACCCTCTATTGCACGCATTATAAAATGTTTACACTATGTTTGATTCACTTTTCTTGCATAAAATGAACCTGTTTAGTGACCTAACACATTGTTGAGCAATAACATGTGGGGTTGTTTCTTTTTAAGTAGGCTAGTCTACCATGATTCAGTTCCAGAAGTGAAATAAATCAGACATTTATGCAGACCTTTTAAATAAAGAAAAATATCTGTGCTCTCTAATGAATTTGAACTTTTTAACAGGTATGCGTCCTTTGCCATATGTTATATTTGCTCATATGTTTTCATAATAGGGGGGTTTATGTTACATTTTATGTTGTTTATTGCATTATTCGTGTAGTGTGTTCTGGTGGTGTTTGTCATTGTGTATATGACACTGTGCACTGTTTGGCTAATGGTTAATGGCAAGGGACTCATATGAACTTTGATTCATAATATTTTATGGCTCAAAGTAGATGCAGTAACATGAAATCAGTTAATGACATATGAAATAAAAGCACCAAATGCCAGAAATGTTGTCACTGTCATTTTTTTACAGGGATTTTCTGGCAACAACAGCTGACGTTTTTGTTCTTTAAATTGAACAGGATTTTTTACATTAAAATAAATCCATGAGTAGGACCACATTATTTTTCATACCAATAACTTATCATGACCATTACCATGCTAAACGTTTATTCTGTCATGTTACTTCTGCAGCCTAAAATGTGTCTCATGACATAAGAGTGCATGTAAAATAATTACCTGTGTCTCAGATTTAATGTGCTGTGGTGTTAACAGCAATTAATGATAAATATAGCAGTGTAAATTTAAAATGTGCTAAAAGTGCATCCTAGACAAGTGAGTGAAAATTCAAAAGGGTGTCATTTTGTCATTATGCAGTTATCATTGTTTCATCGGGTGAGAGCTAAGATTCAGCAGATCATAAGGCACAAAATGCAATTGATAATTTTGACGCATAGTCACACTTGAAGCAAATGTGTCCAATTGAAAGAATTGGTGTTGGAATCAATTATTTTAGATCTGCAACCATAATGATTAGTTTGAGTTTATAGCACTCAGCTCATCGGTTGATCCGTTAATTCTATAGCAGCTTTTGTCAAAACCAGGTCAGTTATTAGTAGTAGGGTAGATTGGGGTAAGATAACCCCCAGGGCAAGATGATCTCATCTCAGCACTTTTGTCATTTCATCTGAATATCAATTTGTGAGATTTAGTTTGTCAAAAGAGTTTTGAGGTTAATTGATCTAATTGTGTGTCTCTGGAAAATATTGTAATATGTTGAATTTGCATTATGTTGAGATACGGGGGGCCAACTTACCCCAGTAGGGGCCAGCTTAACCCTCTTTTAATATTTGACATTTTGTGCTGTAACGCTAAACTAGCAAATGTTTCTATTTATTTCCTTTAATAACACATTGGCTGATGCATCATCATCCTGCACATGCCAAACTTTTATCTAATTGTTAAAATTTAAAAGTAAATCCACATTGTCCTTAAGGGGGACATCTTCCCCCATCCTGCCCTTCTATAACAACAGCCATAATGATGATAACAACTAGTACTATGCCTAGTCTATCAAGCATGTATACATGCAATCCTAAATGAGGTGGATTTTAAAACATCCAGTAGAGGGCCCACATTCAGAGCACATGCCATTGTCTTTGGCAAAAGTGGAGAAACACTGTCATTGCAAATGTATCACTCCTATAATCAGGTCTTCCACCTACATACATTTTTCATTTAGCAGCAGCCATACAGTTTAAGCAGGCTTTATGTGTAATATGTACTGCTTTCTTCAAACAGCAGGGAGTATTTGGATTCCTTTGAAGACTTGAGAAATTGAAGAAAAGAAACTGAGGAAGAGAGAAAGAATCAATCTTGTAGTTGCTAAGGACACAAAGAGTGCTCTATGGTCCAGTGAATATTGATGTAATTCTAGTTCAATAGCGAGACCCGGGCTACTTAGACAGGCTTCAATGTGGCCATTCACAGAACAGCAGGACACTGTGATGTAATCTATTACAGAACTGATGGAATCACAGGGATTGACCCTTTGTAACTCATGCACTTGGTGGATTTTCACAAAAATTGTTTTATAGGAATGGGTGTGCCTCAAGACAACCATTTGTTTTTTCTGAGACTATAGTTTTCAATTGACTCCCTCATGACCACATGGCTTAATTTGAGATAATTCTGTGCACACAGTTTTCACAAACATTACAGTGGTATAATTCAAAATTAGAAGGTTGTATGTATCCCAAATCTTTTTTTTTTTTTTGGTGTGGATTGATACACAATCAGATCTGCAAACAATTTTTTTTTTTTGCCTCCTGCTATAGGGATATACACGGAAACCTCAAAATTCCTGTCACTGTGATAATTGTACGTAGGTAAGAGCAGTAGTTAAACTAAGGCCCACAAATTTAAGCTTAGCAAAGTCTCAAATCCCACAATCTCTTTTAGAGCAGAATAAGTACGCTTGAAGTACGTGGCCCCTCAAATTCATTTGCAGCACAGTGCCAGCTGCAAATTACATGGCATACTTCACATTTGGAGGTATAAATGGATTGAGTTCAGAATAAAGAGCTCAAAAGCCTATAAGTACATATCTGTTTGCTTATAACAATTCTAGATTATATGAAGACTTATAGACCATGCTGAAATGTCATTAACTAAAGTATAATATCAAATTCCTGTACATGAAATAGGTGTAATCCCTCTTGTAAATGTATTCTTTGTCCATGTCATTTTTCAATGTCAAATTCATATGATTTTCTAATAATCTGTTTCCTGTGTGAGGGAAAACCTCCATTACTTTAAGGTGAACATAGCCTGCTGTTTACATATGGGCTTTAAACTCATTTGCCTATAGTTTTTTACATTTGCAACCAGCATTTTTTTAGCACATTATATACTTAATAAATATGCTGTCTGTTTACCATATATTTGTAAAGAACTTAGCTGTTGTTTCAATAGATGTCTTTTTGTATTGTAAGAATTTTTTTAGTTCAGGAAGTTATTTAAGCAATGTCAATTTATGAGGGCTGTTGGTCTGATACAAATCACATATCATTGTGATACTGCTTTAAACTGACATTTAAAGAAAGAAATAGCCAAATAAATCATTGTGAATCTCCAAGAAACACAATAGAAATGCTTTGTTGAATGAATCAACATTTTTGAACAAATTGATTCACTTGACAGAATGATTCTATGATTCACACCAATAAGGCTAGAATTAATCTGTTGGGTGAATAATTCAATGATACAAATATGATCAAATCCGAGAACTATCTGTTGTATGGATTTACGGCTACAACATATTATTATTTAATTTTAAAAAAAAGAAGTAATTTAATGTTTTGGATTATTTAAAAGTTTGTTCTTTCTTTGTACTTTATGTCCTCTTCTTTTCAAAGCTTCACCCCCTCTGTGTCCATCTGTTCCCATGCAACTGTTATATTTTAATAGATCACAGCCCACAAGATCACATGTCTACAGTTAAAAACAGTTTCTTTACATGGCCTTTAGCCACATAATTTATATTACCATTTCATTTCACGGCAGAATGATTTAATGTTTAATGGATGCGGTGATGGATGGGAGAACCTGGTGTATTTGTCACCATGAGATTAGAAAGAGTGACATTTGTGATTGATAACATTTGCTCCTTCATTACTCATTTATGGTTTGCAGGCTTGGTAAGCTTGGAACCAAGGGCTGTAAGTGCATGTAATTGTCTTGATTTGATAATGCATGTTTTATTATCAACTTCCCATCAGTGTTTAGAGATATAGAGATTTCCCTGGCCAAAAAATAAATAAAACTCTGAATTCATTTTTAAAATGCTGAATTCAGTAGAGTAGCCATTGAAAATGCCATTTCAATAACATACCACTTTTGGGAAAGGGTTCTTTCTGCATAATTAAAAAAGTAATAAGTGAGGCATTTATAAGAAAGTAAATGTCATTCAGGAGCAAGAAGGATGTAAGTCAGCAGGCCATCAACAGCCAATACCAGGAAAATGGAAATATATTGTATCACTTTCCTCTATCAGTTGACTTAACTTAAAAAAGTGAGGGAACCCATTGCCTTAAATTTATTAAGTTAAAAAACTTCATGCGTAATTGAAAAAAAAAAAAGTTATGTGGAATTGTCAAGTACACATAACTTATTTTTTTCTTAAGTTTATTACTTAATCATTTTAAGTGAACGGATTTCCTCAGTTTTTTTTAAGTTAAGTTAACTGATCACTTTTTACAGTATACCCACTAATAATGAACTCAAGTAAATAATTTGCATAGCAACCTTCAACAGGTTTTGGAAGTTTTGGATGTCTTTCATTTATTAAACTCAAGATTGACAGATCTGCATTGAAGAGTCACGGATGAAAAACATTTCCACTCACATGTCCACATGGTTTTGACTTTGGTAACCTTATCTGGGCAAAAAAAAAGTTGTTTTGCAAGTTCCCTAGGAACTATGGTCTCGAAGACATGTGTGATGTGAAGTATGAATGAATTCTGTATTTGGAAAAGATCCACTCTATATTATATGAGTTGGCGTAAAGTGTTTCATGCCCATAAAACACAAAGAATCAGTATTTTACGCTCGAGTACCTGCACCTGCACACGTTCACAACACATCAGATGTAGTTAAGGTTATTTCCAGCAGAGATGGAAATCTCATATTACTCACAGAAGTGCGATAAAGAAAGAACGGATGAACGGCACTAGCAACAGAACGTAATACAAAATCTAACCCAGAACATCAGTGTAATAACAACTAAGGTTATAGATAACCTTTCTCCAGCCTCATGTCTACATGGATTTATGTGTAAGGAAATTCCAGGGTGTAAAAGATTGCTTCCTCGTGGTATCAGGTAAACTATCTTACCTTTTGCAAGAGAATATCTTCAATTTCCCATCTGT